TCTTCAGAAGGGCAAGTTTCATTACACCAGGAGAGTTTCCTTCTATCCTTGATGAAAGAAGTTTCATGTAAGTTTAAGGATTAAAAAGAATTACTTTTGAAAAACAGGAAAAGGGGGACTAGAATGTTGATTCTGGAAAGTTAAGGGGCCAGATGGACATGAAAGAGTATTTCCTGTGGGTTGTTGGGTTGTTTAAAATTTTATGATAGACAGACAGACAGACAGACAGCTTTTGAAATGAACTGTAAGAAATCCTCCCATGGGAAAGTTTTGTTGATTGGAAAATAAACTTATGATAAGAGGGGACTTGAAGATTGACTAGAGGGAACCAGAGAGAACTAAAGATTATAATTAAAGGAGAAGATACCTATTAATACAATGGATCAATTCTATTTGACTACAGAAGAAATCAAGGATATTTGGGAACAATGTACCCAGAAATTACTCTTAAGATTGCTTGCCCCTATAAAAATGGATTTAACAGAGGCTATAAAAGAGGAACAGATTTTACTGGAGAGACTGAGGCTGATCTGAACGTGGATCTGAAAATGGATTTAAAAATGCCACACTACAAGAATGATATGGAAAAAGATGCCACATTAGATTCACAAATGAAACCGGCAGATGTCTTAATAATTAATTAAAGGGGACATACAAATAAATCAGAAGAGTGACTTGGAAAGCTTTCTTATCTTGGATTTACAAAAGAGATGTGTCAGAAACTAGCAAAGAAGTTTCTGAGAGGAGACAAAGAGAAAATGATAAGAAATCAACTTGTAGGACATTATTTAAAGGGATTAAAGATCAAGCTTTTGAAAAGTAAGAGGAAGGAATATAAACTGGATTTATTCAACCAGGGTTAAAATATATGTGTTGTGGTTTCTGGTAGCTATTAATGGTTTTTTTTTTTTTTGACTAGGACTAAATGACGAGGCTTTAAAGATTTGTTTATAGACAAGATATGGGGAGTGATAAGTTGGAATACAAAATGGATTTATTTAAGGTGAAAATATGTATGTTATTATTTCGGGTAGCTCTTAATGGACTTTTTCTGATTAGGACTGAATGATGAGTTTTTACAATTTGTTTAATGATAAATTAGATATGGGAAGAAGAGTTTTTTTTAATTGAAATATTAGAGAAGGTGTTAAGTTACTAAAGTTGTTTATACTTGTTTGGAGGGAGGGGGGAGTCATTTCTTTATATAACTTTTTTCCTATTTTTTTCCTTTTTTAATTCTTTTTTCTTTTTCTCTGCATCTTTTACTTTTTTCTTTACTTTTTATAGTCTTCTTAGTTTGTATTAGTCTTTTATCTTTGCATTTGTAAGCTTTAATACAAGTTATATAAAAAAAATCTGGAATCTTTTGTAGGCAAAATGCATACTCAGCAGTAAAATCAGGTTTCCCATATGACAAACATTTACATTTTTCTGTATGCATTCCTACTTAGGGCAAGTCTAGCCAGAAGATCCATAGGCTGGCTTCTTCTGTCTAGAAGTAGAGCCAAATAAACAATATCTATATAATCTCTAATTGGTTGCCAGAATCAGTGAAGTTTCAAACCTCATAATTTCATTAGGAAGTAGAGTCCCGGTGCCTCTCCATCCTCACATCCTCTTCCGTTAACTGTGCTTTCTTGCCTTTCATTAGCAAGGTAAGAATTTCACTTCCCAATTAGCAGAACTAATTCCTAAAATACTTACACCTTCATTAAAGAGAAGAGGAAAACCTGTAGCAAAAGGATCCTTTACATTGAAATTGGTCTCCTTAACAATTGCATTAGCTTTAATTCATAATTATCACTGATATTGACCTAAGGTAGAATGCGAGCTGATGCTGGTGAGGTTGCTGAGGGTTCAGGCTTATACATCTTGCATGTAGAAAGGATCCAGTTCTACCACTGACATTGCTAAGCATGAAAAGGAAAGCTTTCAGTTTGAAGGCTTAGGGAGCCATGGCCAGTTGTTATAGATCAGTGTTGTCCAAACTTGGCCACTTTAAGATGAGTGGACCAACTCCCAGAATTCCCCAGCC